GAGACCACAGTTAGCAGGACAGAAGCCAGACAAACTTTGTAGCCCAACCATTACGTTTTCACATTTACTTGTAGCAACAGCAGCCCAGAGGGCTTAATGCCGCTTTTGATCTGCCTAGTCTGACAAACTCGTGTCCTTTGCACCGCAGCAGGGAGAAGGAAACAGCCGTGAGGCAGCGAGCAGGGAGGGCGCTGGCCTGGAGGAGCTGGGTTGGGGCCAGCGTGCAGTATGTGCTCTGAGCTGGACACAGCTAATTATTCTGGCCAGTGCCCCCGACCAGCCCTGGTTTCCACTTGCAGGCATGCCTGGCTGCCCCCCCCCCCCCGCGGCGTAAGTGCTCCTGTCCCCAGAGCTGCAAACTGCCTAGGGCAGCAGTGCCTGTCAGACTGGAAAGACCAGGTCTCAGGTGGGTCTGTTTTAATTCATTAATGCCCTTATTTCCGAGGCACAGGACCTGGCTGTTTACCTTTGCCTTCTTTCCATAAATGAGTTTCCAGGGACTTGAAGTTGACCATGTCATCCTCTGCTGGCTCCCCTGGGAAGCCCGACAGCCAGGTCGAGCCTCTGCCAATTAGCTCAGCCCCGCTCAAACTGCAAAGTCGTCACGTATTTCAACTGGGAGCACACCCTCACCACCACCAATGCTAGCTCTGCTTTGCCACAGCTTTACACACACACACAGGTGGATCCTCAGCAAAGCAGGGGGGTCTACAGAAAACCTTATTTGCTTAATTAGGTTTGCACTAAGACACGAGACTCCAACTGGAACGGTTCTTCCGTCTGGGTAGTAACACAGCAGCAAACACAGCTGTGCCCGACCTGGAGGTAACGTAAGTTTCCCTTCCGTTGGCCTTGCGTTTCAGAATCCCACCCTTCACCACCAGCTACCTAAACTCTTCAAATTACCACATAAATACTTTCCAAGTGCCTGCACTCCATGTGATAATTGATCATGATGATCATAAATACACCAAAACCTAGGTCATACTATGAATTTCAAATTAAAGATACCAACGATACTCCCATTAAAACAAAAATAAAAAGTGTTAAGGGGCGTCCAGGTATGTTTGGCCACGGGCTCGATTGCTTCAGACTTCAATGCAGCTGCATGTAAAACCAACTACATCACCCTTCTTGTTTCTGAAAACAAGATCACGCTGTAGGTAAAAAAAATAAACAAACTAGGAGTCTGAGGGGAAATCATCTTGCATCTCTCACAATCTAGGATTCAACAAGAACAAAAATAACTGCTACTACTGACTTTCCGTATGATACCGGATAGAACAAGAAACCACCACACAGGCTCTTGTGTGCTCACGCTCTGCACTGTCGCATCTTGTCTGCTTAAACTAGACAAAGGATTTTACTTTCATTTACCGGGAAACAAGCTAAGTGGTCTCTCACAATACCTATGAAAGAAAAAAAAAACCAAATGAAGGCAAACCCCTACAAAACAGGCACCATGCCAATAAAATGACTTCCACATCCAAGTGCTAATTGTACCTGAACTGTACCTTTATACCCCTCAACAGGCCCACAGTTCTCATGGTGGTTGACACAGTACGCTTGCCTCTCAGAGCATCCAGTCCGAGGGCTCCTATGCCCTTGGACTGCCAAACTCTCCTGGTCTCTGCTAAAACATGAAATCGCCTCCTAAGGCTTCCCACACCTTCGCTCTCTTGAGCCAGCGTCCAGATGTTGTAACAGCAGCAGCGACTCCGTAGAGGGACAGCACTGCCATCGGGAGTGGGATGGCACTGCCATCGGGAGCTTAGCCTCCCCAGGACCGTGGGTGCTGGCGACTGGCAAGTGAGACAGGGGCTTACTTCCCTCCTTTCATCAAGGTATTTCAGATCTCTCTATAAAACTGGAACCAAAAACCTCATTCTCAAAAGCACCACGTACTATTGTTACAAAAAAAAGAAGTTTTCAAATCCTGTAAAAAGGCAGTTATGTTTTGAAAGAGTGGAGGGCGGTCTCACAGAAATACGCTTATCAGGCTTATTAGCACAGGAAATTCTTACTTTTTACAGGCCATATCTACTCTTTTCCCCTCTACCTGGCAAGACGGAATCGCTCGGATCCTCTCTGCTCCCACGGCAGCAGTGCCGGCATATCTCCACGCTGCTGAGAGAGCCCGTGGCTGTGGGTGGGACTAAAGCTACGGCCGCTTTCCTAAGCTGTCAGCCAGGTGCGTGCTGGCTGGTGGCAAAACCAGCAGCACCGGCACAAGGAAAACCGCAGCCGACGTCTGGGGTAGAGCAGGATTGTCCCCTCCAGAGGCAGCCTACCTCTGTTTTCAGTTTAAATGGCCACGGAGCCGTTTCCCTGCAGGACACACGTATTCTCCCTGAAGCAGCTCGGAGCAGCCACAGAAACTGGTTCCCAGTGGACAGATTCAAGGTGCAGGCACTAACCTGGGACCTGTCTGAAGGGAGGCTTCCAGGCACCCCAACACTAACTACATGTGACAAGTGCGACTTCAAATTAAAAAAAAAAAAAGAAGAAAAAAAAGAAGAAAAAAGGAAAGGGGAGGGGGGAGGGAGGAGAGAAACATCAAAGCCTTCCATAAACTCACGCTGCGCTGGAAGGGTGGCAATTATGCCGTTCTTAACTCTGAGGCTATTTGCAAGGGAAAGGATCGGGAGACTCGGAAAGGGTGCTCGAGTGGAAGAGGTTTATCTTGCTCCATTCAGAGGAAAAGATTACAGGCATAAAACTGTCTGTCACCTTGGAGAAGCTGGAGTCTTGAGATTTTGCCTCCAAAGCCTTGGGGATGCAGGGAAGGAAGCTGTTTTGTTCAGATTAAAGACAGACGCAGCTTCCTGAGAGAGGCTATCCCTCTCAAATTAGTGGATATTCTAAGACATTTGTCTCTACTGGCGTTAGCCCCGCACTGACTAGGTGCAAATGAGATGAGGATCAGGATAAACGCGTATTAGAAATACAACCCGGTTATTTCAAGTTATTCCTATTCCTCTAATTTCCATTTCCCTGGACGTTTCACACTGTGCATTAGTGATTCACAATGACGTACATTTACACACAGCAGGAGAAAACTTAACGAATTCCATCACGTCCTGTATTTGGGAGACTTTATGCCTGAGATACAGCTCCCTCGTTTTATCATGCCTTTTGATCTCCACAGAGTAATCTGTTTGTCCCTTGGCAGAACTGTGTAATTCTTGCTAATTTAATATGAATTACATTTACGCACTTTGGGCAGAATAAGCCTCCGTATTTGTTATTTCTCGCACACTCTCTTAAAACCAGGCCAAATGCCACCTACCTGTCCCCCGCGGGTAGGCATGCACGTAGCATGACGACTAGTGTGAAATGCTGAGGTAGGGCACGGCACACACGCATGCAGCAACTAAATGAGAGGTTCATGACAGGGAAATGGGGAGAAAGAGCTCCTGAGCCTTCCCTCCCGCGTGAGGCATCGCTTATTGCATCGCACAGCCTGTGCTAGGCAGGAAATCATGCAAATAAATAATTATGGCTTTTGTTAGGTACGTCATGGTGCCATAGGCCCCGCTTGGAGCACTGTCATAAAAAAAGTGGCAGATTCCTGTGGCTACGTCTTTCTCCAAGATACTACCAGTAGCTCCGAATGATTTCTGAAAAGAGACAAAAAAAGAAGTAGGGAAAAAAAAAAATAGGGAAAGTTAGGCGTGCATGCTTATTTATTGGAAACCCCCCGCCGCATTATGATTTTGCATTTATGCTGAATACTGAAAGCAATCCCCCTTTCCCTCATGAAAACCTTAATCAGGTTTATTATAGGACCCACATGACTTAGTTGCATCCGTGTAAGTAAATGAGGAACATGTAACTTCACGGATTGTTGTCCTTCGCGGGGGGGCGGGTGGGATTACTCAAATGTTGGTAATTCTAATGCCTTGGTAAAGCAAAACTTCAATCTACCCACTTACTTCAGAGCTCGTTAGCCACTACAATTTAATTCCCTTTAAATCTCCCACAATTCTGAAATTAGTTTTCCAAATATATTTCCAGAAGATACTTAAGTGATTTGGTCTATCTTTGTAGGGGAAAGAATAAGATCAAGCTCACCACACGTATGAAAAAAGGAGCAGGGGACAATTTTCAAATGCGGATACTTCCCACCGCTGCCCTCTGAACTCACCAGCTCCTGCAGAAACAGGTCATTGGCCACGTGCACGATTCGATCCACGTGGATGATGCCCCCGATGCTGTTCACCTCGATGTCAGAGAGGAAGGTGAGAACGAGAATGGCTTCCACCAAGAGCTGCCTGTACTCGGGCTGGGGTACGTGGTTCAGCACCGACTCCACGTGCACAGCAAACTTGATTTCGCACGGGGTCATCTGGCAAGTTTGAGTGGAAATGGAAAGAAAAACTGACAAATCCAGAAGACTAGTTCCCCTCATCCTGCAAGCACTTAACCATATGCTCCTCTCTGCACACGGGGGTAGACTGGCTGAAGCGAACAAAATGTTTGTGCGGCTTTAGCACTTACAGAAACTTTTTGCGTTGCTAGGCCCTGATCCTGCAAACAGTTACGCAACTTCCAGAAGACTGCTCCAGCCCTGCAACCCATCGCACACACGTTTTAGTTACGTGCAGGACTGCTGATGCTTAGCTGGCAAATTACCTCTTTGCTCCTCATGCTGCGGGCTCACGCACTCTGCCTTCTAAGGATCTTTCTGGCATCACAGGTTAGTTGCGCAGCCAAAATTACTGTCGCGCTTTAAAAATAACCACCCGCTTAGAGTGAATGCTTTTCCACACAGAGATACAGCTATATTGGTTGTAGAGCAGCCTAATTTGCACTGGCATAGCTGTATGGATGTTACGTGAGAGGCTGCTGCCTTAGGAGGTTTGTGCTTATTTCGTTTGATTCCTTTAAATAGCAAAATTAGATACTGTCTAGGTCTGACAGGCTGAAAATATATAAGCCGATTTATCTACAGAATAGGAAAAAATAAAGCTCTCCACTCTGCAAAAACAGGTTTAAATTCGGCAGAAAATTCCAGCCCCTCTTTTCAGCTGTTACCACCGTCCCTCAGAAGGAAAGGAAGCCAGAGACAAATCTGAGGGAACCAGACAGGACAACAGTCTCAGGCACACAAGCACCTCTCCTGCGCCGATGGATTACCGTTCACAAGAGTTTGTTTCCTAGTCGTGAATTCAAAACTTGCCAGAGCGCCTAAAGACAGAGTGGCAATCCAACTCAGGAAAAAAATGTAAGGAAAGGTTATGGATTTAAAGAGTCAAAGCTCTGGTTAGAAACAATCATCCTTAACTGGTATTTACTTTTGAGACCGCGATGCCAAAATACACTGGCTGCTGTTGCAGCATACTAAAAAAAAGAAGCGGCAAGCAACGTGCCTGCTTCATTCCAACAAAGCTGTGCTCTCTTCTCGCCCTGCCCGAAGGACTGCCATCAGCCACCCCGTTTCAGGCACTGCTCCGTGGGCGCACGGGGTCAGTGAAGGTGGGCAGAGGGCAGGCTCAGCAAAGGGGAAAACCTGCCACAAACCTGCTCCCAGGCCTGCCTGGCAGGAACTCATCTGCACAGCCCCGGGGAAGCTGGCAGAAGTGCTGGGGGAAGGTCCAGATCTTCTAACCTTCTTAAAACCAAGGGTCTGCAACAGCAGCCCCACTGCATCTTACACTGTCAAACCAAACATTCAGTCATGGGGCTACGAAATCGCTGGCATTTTACTGTACCTCTCTGGTGGTTGAAGAAGGAAGGACATACCCGTCAATGGACAGACCATGGCACTGAAACAACAACATTTTGACAATGAACAGAAATTACAGTTCTTGCAAGCAAATCTGAGTGTTCTCTGATACTGGCCAATATGTAACAACCCTCAGTTAAAAAAAACCCAACAAAACACAAAAACCCACACAAACCCCCAAACAACAACAACAAAACCTGTTAAAACTATTATTTCACCTTTGCTGAAGAAGTTACTATGTAACCTGGCAAACATTAGAAATAGCCTGACATGACACGTAGAGAGCGTGCTGTGTTCCAGTCCAGCTACTGAAGGGGAGGAAAATACTTAAGAGAGCCTCTACAGCAAGAGGCACACAAAGGAGAAAAACAAATCAATGAGAACATTCTGTGGGAAAGGATGTATAAATAAAAGATAATGTAAAAGCACGACAACAGATCACGAAAGTGAGAACCTTTATTTTTCATTTTCACTAAAACAACATTTAGTTAAGTGTTTCAGGTCCAGGGCACCACAACTCAAGGATGTCAACATGCTGTGGTGCTTGGGCATGGGCCACCAACGATGGGGGAGAGATGGTGTTAGAAATACCAAGCGGTGCGCAAGAGAAGAGTGACAAAACCTAAATGGTGAGAAGGCAGGCTAAGGAATGACATTTCTGGGTACCTGAGGTACAAAAACGCACAAAGAAGAAGAAAGAGCTTTTATGAATAGTCCAAAGAGAGTTTAAGAATGAAATATTGAAGACAACTTAAATAAGCACAATTGATTTTAATAGCCAGAAAACCATTCCAATGCTCCCAGCTATTACGTTAGGTCAGGACAGAAATGATGCTCACTCTACTGAAAGATCCCATTAGTAAATAGCCACGAGGTCATATATGACTCATCTTGGCCAACATCAACACTAACAGCTTCAGCGTAAGTGATTTTAGAAGGACAACCAAAATCAACCTGAGCTGCTGATGCACATTTTTCCCAACTGTGTAGGCATGAACAGCTCAGTGCTGCAAGGTGCCAAATGCTGGCTTTCATCCAACAAAGCAGAAGAACGCGTGCATAATCACTTTGAAATGAGTAAAAATTCATAATTCCCCTCTCTTCCTTCCTGGAGAGCCGCTTCAAGACATTTCCATACACCCTGAGCTCCAAGGTGCTGGCAAGGATTACTTTTCACTTAAAAACAAACAAAAAAATGTTAAGAATGCCATACAGCTCAGAAGAGCCAGCAAGAGATCTCAAGGCATTTTGGAAGAGTCCGTGCAGCTTCCTACTTCATTCCTTGCATCCTTTCTGAACTGGAGCGCCTGAACTGCCCTGCATTGCAGCGTCCCTCAGCGGCACTGACCACAACTCGCACTAGGCCATGGGTGATGCAAGACAGACAGTGGTGGAACAGAATCGTTCAGCCGAAATTCAGCGCCAGCGGTTTCAGAGAAAAATACACTTTCAAACAAACACGTGAACTTGTGTTAACGGAGCCCTTTTATGTTCAAGAGACATGTTTCTACTAAAGACTCTAGTTTCCACCGGTCTTCCAGCTGAAGACCAACTTCAACTCCTGGCAACACGCCGCCTCTCGACCACCACCTCCCCAAGTTACCGTACAGCTTGCTTCCTTCCAGCCCTCCCCGGCTGTCAACTTACCTTCTGAAGGATTTTCCACACTTTCTCATAAAAGCCAACAGGAACTCTGTTAATAGCACCATCAAGCCTCCTTCTGCGCAGCCACTGCCCTTTTCGGTCACCCCAGCTCGTCTCTCCTTTGGAGCCAGCAGGAGAAGTATTAGTGGGAGACGATGGAGTACTGCCCCTCTGTAAGAAACGTTAAAGCCTTGGTTATTTGCTTTCTACCACCCCAAGCACTACTCCTGGTGAATACATCATTCTGTTGCAATGCCACCTCAGAACCAGGGAAAAAACACAGGCCGTGATGTCATGCAAGATGACGGAGCAGGATTGATCCCTTTCTCTCCCCTTCACAAGCTTCGCTTCTCCAGTACTTCAATCATTTCTCAACAAAACAGGCGAGCAGTTCAACAAGGCATAACCCAGTAAACTTCACTGCTTCGTTCAACACAAGGCACGACTATTTTAACAAGTATGAGTTGGCTGCCAGGGCAGTGTCACTGGTGTGCAAGATGGTAGGATTTGCAGGTAGGTCTGACTTGGACTTCGGGCTCAGGGTCGTTAAGAGAACCGAAAGGTCCATGAGTCCAGCAAGAGAGGTCCTCCATGCAAAAAGCTCCATTAAAGTAAGTAGATTAAAAATTTACTTCATGTAGTCATGTAATCATCATCCCTGCCTCTCTGTAAGTATCAGTCTTGTTTCCTTTATTGTCACTATTGCTCTATTATTTTACTCTACCAGACTTGGAGACTAAATTAGGCAGCAAATCATCTTCAAAGTTGTGGCACTACCACTAAATTCTTGTTCCCATTTCCACACATGCAGTCTGCCTACTCTTTGCACTCCCAGAGACCGTGCTTTTCTGTTTCCTCGCTCCTTTTTGCACACCTATTACTTTCAGCCCAGAAAGGACTTCACTGAGAGCCCCATCTCAAATCCCATCATCTCTGAGTAAGGAACTGCCTAAGCAAAGTACTGGGGAAGGTGGGAAATAAGAACGAAAACTGTACGTTTGCAAAGGATAGGCTCACTGACTCTACACAGCCAAGCACTGCAAAAAGACCAGCAAATGCAAACAAAGTCCATATTCGCTCCTGTTGGTGTCAGTGAGGCATAGGTGGTGTTCCCTTGACGGCCTGATGCATGCTATTCCTTTCCACTGCACGCTGAGGCAGAAAGAACTTCCTCCACCCTGTTGCGCAGAGCTAAGGGATGCAGGAGGTCAGCAGGAGGGTGGGTGCCAAAGTAGAGAAATCCATCTGCATACCACACTTAATCTGTCTACTCAGGTGGTTCAGAGAAGCAAAGATCTCACTGACCAATTCTATGCACTTGAATCAAACACACAGTTGAAGCCTGCCTTTCTGGTACGTGGGAAGAGAGAGGCCACAGCAACCTGGCAGTTGTCTGGCCAGGCCACAGGGCTAGTGGTGCTCTGCAGTTGTGTATTTAGGACACTTGGGAGGTGTGCCACCGACAGCAAGTCTGCAGACGCAGAGAACCACGAATCACAACCACCAGTTTGAAGTGCATGCAGAGCTGCAAGCTTTCTGTCTCTTCATGACAGATCTGGAGCCTCAGACTTACTTTAAATTATTGAAGTTTCTGTTGGTAAAATATTTAAACAATCATCTTCCTTCTTAACAGCGAGAGCATAAGAGCAGCTACAGTTCTCTGCCTTGAAAGAAGATGACTGCCCGAGGAGATACCCATGCCCATAAAATGCCTGCCTCAGCAACCTGAAGCTGTTTGGGGTTCATTAATGTCCATAGACTGCCAGCATTTATCAACACTACATTACTTTTAAATACCGATGACACCTGTAGCATAATTCACCATCAGGTAGCTAAATCTGCTATAGTGCTTTATCTGCTACAACTGCTTAAGCTTCAGAATAACTAAGTGGATCTAAATGCGAGACTCAACTTCTATTAAAAGATTACTAATGAGAATTGGTTCCCAATGAAGATGAACAAAACAAAAAGGTAGGGTTTGAAAGCAAGTTTTTATGCAGGAGAAGCCACAGGAGGCGTCTAGAGCTAAGACCCTTGAACACACACACACACACACACAGGGTGAAGAGCAGGTGCAGAGCTGCAGACGGTGTTTTACCATGGAAGCGAACATGATGCTGGATATGGAGTGGCCCTCACGAAAGAACTACAAAACAAAACCAGACACCAACATGTCAGACAGACAGCCATGACAGAACAGGATGCAAACAAGGTTAAGTAAAGTAACCCGTCCATGCAAAGACAAGAAACATGGAATAAGCTCAGATACTCAGGCAAAAACTGCGACAGCCCCTGGACTCTTGCAGTGCTGCACTTCAGTTGACTTCGGGGCAGCTGCTGCCGATTCCCAGGGTCACGACGACGCAGACCCAGCTGTGCCAGGAGCCTCCTTGGTTGTGGTGCAGCCACGAGCTTCCCATGCCATCCACTGAGCTCCAAGCATGGCCAACACAAACTGCCACAGTTTAAGATGCATGCAAAAGCTTCCCTGTGACTCAGGGCTGGGAAAAAACCCCAAGCTCCCCACTTCCATTCCCCATTCATTGCAACGTCAGCAGCTTCTCCTTGCACAAGAAGGCCACCTTGCTGCAGAAAGTCTGCGGGCTGCCAACTGAGTGGGCAGCGCTAAACAAACAGCAGCAAGGCAAAATTTTCACTGAAATGTGGATGCACCACCTCGGACTTACAGCACTGTTCTGTAACTGTCCACCCCAAGCCATGCCTCCTAATTAAGTGTTAACGGTTCAGAGCCAGGCAAACGCTTGATGTTCAGACTCAAGAAACAACGGCAGCAAAAGAGCTGCAGTCACTCAACACCTGAGCTCTGGTGTAGAGATGTTAGTGCAAGTACTTGAAATGTTCCTTGTCACACAAATTTAATCCCCCTCTCCCTCCCACCAAAATGACATTAAATTAGTATCTAGTGAATTATTCAGAGAATGCAGTGAGATGTAGCAGGAAGCAGCATGAATGGCAAGGTGGAGGGAACAAAAATAAAACCAGCCAACTCCTCCTCTGTGCAAAATACCAAGTTTCCGTCTAATGCAAAAGCAACGCAGGAAATACATTTCCAACCTCAGCAAAGGTCCAAGTGTTTCAACTCAGGCCCACCTCTGTATTTAAAACAAAATAATGCTGCCACCTAGTGCCTAGCCCCTCTTCCTTCCTGGAAAGGCCCTGAAGTCCCACACCCGCCATACAACTGCAAGCCCTGCTCAGTCTGAACCCCCAAAGTCACTTCAGAGCCGGTGGAAAGCAGCTAGCAGCACCTTCACAGCCACAGCCGTACCACGAGGCTCAGCCATGACCATGCTTAGGCAGTGGTACGGCACAAACATGGCGACCAGGTCTTGTGAGACAGACACCGTGCGTTTCACAGGTGCCTTTGCTTCCCTGCCTGATCGTGTCCTGTGAAGAATCATTAACTGAACTTTATTGTCGCCATCAAACACTCCATGTCAAGACCGTGCAGAAATGCCACTCCTTTCTGAAGGCTTATCGAGCAAATCTGTTTCACACAATCACAGGAAAACATCACATACTTCCTCAGAAACTTACAGAAATGGCCTCAGATTAAACGAATCAGGCTTGATAAGCTCTCAGAAGAGAGGGTCTTTCAAAAATATGTTTCTAATATAGAATCACAGCATGGTTGGGGTTGGAAGGGACATTTACAGATCATCTCGTCAACCCCCCCTGCCATGGGCAGGGACATCTTTCACTAGATGAGGTTGCTCAAAGCCCAGTCCAACCTGACCTTGAACACTTCCAATGATGGGGCATCCACACCACCTCTGGGCAACCTGTGCCAGTGGCTCACCACCCTCTTTGTAAAAAATGTCTTCCTTGTGTCCAATCCAAAACTACCCTCTTTCACTTTAAATCCATTGCCCCTTGTCCTGTCATAACAGGCCTCGGCAAAAAGTCTCTCTCCACCTTTCTTATAAGCTGCCTTTGTATACTGAAAGACCACAATAAGGTCTCCCTGGAGCCTTCTCTTCTCCAGGCTGAACAATATGATGGCATTCATTCTTATAAATGTATTTTACTTGATCACCACCTTCCTATTTATCTAGTGCAAATGAAAATTACTAGTAGAAACATAAAAAAAAGAGAGATCAAAAACACTCATAACAAAACAATCAGTCACATTCATTCAGAATATTTTGGAGGTATTTTCTACAATATTACTTCATACGTTCAGTTGCTGTGTACTTTAAAGTATAGAACTTAAGTGTATATATATATTCTAGCAGTAATCATCCTCCATTCCTGAAGAAACAAACCAGGAAGAAAATAAACCAAGATTTATTTTCCAAGTGTATCTTTTCCAAAAGGCATGTGGACCACATTAGCAACTTGTACAGAGTATAAAAATGAACACTGTTTGCATGAAAGCTTCACTTTCTACATCTGACCTTTCCTTAGCTAAAGATGATTAAAGAGCTGTTTTACAGTTGATGCCACGAATGCATTAGTTTGTTCAAGTTCTTCTATATTCAGCATGTGAAACAAGAACAAAAAAGGAAGTATATTTTTGGAGGAAACATCCCTTTACTGCTTTCTGTTTAGTGATCAGCTTTAAATCAAAGGATCCTTGGGAACTTCTGTCATTTACCAAGAATCTGTTTGGCAACAAAAATGGTCTCCTAAAATTAACACACAAAAATCTAACGTAACACAGTACCAGAACAGCTGCATTTTCTGATAAGCGTTGACAGAAACCCCTCACCTGCTTCATCTCACTCTTCAATTTAGTAATACCGCTTCTTTCTGTTTTGGTTGCTCCAGAATGCCCCATTTCATGAATAGAAATTGCAGGGCTAGATGAAGAGGAATCTACAGGTCGCACTAAAAGAAGCAAACAGACATTTTTAAAGTTCTAGGGGGTAGAAAAACAGATGATTTTTTATCTAGAAGTTAAAGATAAAAGCATATCCCTTCACAAGTGTACAATGCTCTTGGTGACAGCATCCTTTCAAATCACATCAATAGTTCAAGCCTGATTACATCAAGTCAGGGGCGTAGATCCATACTTGGATATTGGGACTTGGTTTTCCAAAACACTGAGCAAACATAGCTTCAAAAGACATCAGAGTTGCAATGAGTCTGTGAGGGCTCATGAGCTGAGCCACAAAAATATGGCCCAGGAGACAGCTGAAGTGCCAGTCAGGAATACCTGGGCATCACAGACATGCTCCTTGAAAGCAGGTTAGACATGCCCTTTTTATGGTCTTCGTTCGGTCATATAAAATTTCTTCATTTTAAAAGTTTGCCTTCATATCACTGAAAACTTGATACAATCTTATTTCAGTGCAGGACAGCTTCCATCATACGTGTTTTGTTTATTCCACAGCAGACATACACAGGTACTGGCCACCCATGATTAACACATCACCTACACCTCTATTTTACGTACCAAGAGAGTAGATTCCTACTTCTAAGACAATCTAACTTTGTATTTATAGTTCTCACTTAACAATATGCAAGTACCCAAGTGGACAACTTACAGCTTCTTTCCACACCAAACTCTTTTCCACTGAGAATATGGTGTAGGAGATTTTTCATATCAAAGGGACTTAGATTCATCAAACTCTCTGAAGCTTCTTCACCTAGTGGAAACAAAACAAAAAGAAAAAAAAAAAAGACAAACATCACTATAGGTTGCTTTATAGGTTGTTTTCCTAAGTGAACTGCCGACTGAATGAAGTTCAGTCACATCTCCCTTGTGGCTAGCGCTTCCTTTAAAAAAATTAATATGTAGAGTCACATTTCAAAGAAAATACATTTCAAGACAAAACAACAAACACTGCATGGAAACAACGCTATCTGCATTAGTGAATACTATGCTGCATCTTGTGTGAAATCTCACTGAAGCTGATGATGAGAAAGCAGTTGCTCCTTTGTAGAGCAAGATCGCTTGGAAAGGCGTTACAGCCATCTCCCAAAAGCAGATGACATGCAGATATAAATTAGAGAGCCAGAGTTATCTTCCATAAAGAAATGCATGCATGTGGAAGGCTTGTGTTTTATTTGATGGTAGGTGAGAGAGAGAAAAAGCACATACATACACATGAGCACACGTGTGTGCACAGACAAGTCTCCCACAGGAGAACATGGAAAAGGCAACAGTGAAGCTGAGGGCAGTACAAAGCAGCTGGCTTTTAAGGCTAAGGAATAACAAAAGTGATCCCAGGAAAGAGAGGCTTTGCACTATGAAAAAAGCAGCTTCCGCTATTCAGCTACAGGTTTGGGGGAAACAGGGCTTTCTGTACACTCTTCATATAGAAACAGAATTATCCCAGAAAATTACTTGGCTCCTTTTGTCACCTTCTCCTAAGGGAGAAACCCACCACCCTCCCGGTGGCAGCTAGCCGCTCAAGTTAGAGAGCAGCAGCGTCCAAAGTGGGTTCCATCTAACCAACTCCCAGGGACCCCCACTTCACTCCAGGAGGGAGAAAACTGGGAAGACCAGAACATACGCTTCCACAAAGTTATCCCCCTTCAGGGTGTGCTAGGGCATTAGAAATGGTAACAAGAGCTGAGCCACAAAAATATGATCCAGATCATGCTCCTAAGTGTCAGCATTTGACTATATATTTGTCACATTAACTTGATTACGTTTCATGACTGCTCCTTCTTAGACTTCTGATCCCTTTAAATGTGGGAAATTCTTCCATGATTTTTCAGATCTCTCTTCAATCGTGATTTCTCTCTAGTTTCACTTTTCTCTTCCAAAATGAGTTTGAAAATATTTTTGCCTTGCACCACTTGTTTGTTATTTAATTATTGGGCTTTTTAGGGCATATGCAACATCTTGCGAGCCTGTAAGAATTTTTTTTTACTGACCTCCTGGCAAAATAACATATTACTAGCTGAAATCTAAACAGCAAATATTTTTCAGCTAAGCACATTCAAGGGGAGAAGGCTTACACATAGAAGGAAGAAGATCAGAAGTTACTTTGAATAAAAACTGCTGGAAGTATGAATTAAGGCTCAAATATTCAGAAGATACCTAGGGTCCTAATTCTCATTGACATTAGTGGCATTGGGTCCCTAAATACACACACATGTGCGATTTGATGACCCAGACCTCAAACACCTACTGAAAGTCAGGGGACTTCAGTATTTAATATCCACTTCAGTTTGAATAACTGGGGGCTGGAGGGGCAGGAATCTTTCATTAGGTCAAAAAGAGAAGTTATTTTCAAAGTTTGTAACTGCACATGCTGGATGAAGAAGTTAATAAAAGGATTTAACATACAAATGAAAAACCAACCACTGAGGTGAAGCAGAAATAACGCCCTAAGTACCCTTATGTTAAAATTGCTCTTACCTGAGCATTTTAGACTCCGAGCCAGCTCAGTGGCCATCACCTGAATTATCAGACCAATACGGAGCCTGAGCATCTCCACAAAAAGACTAGGCTGTGACCGGACATACATCGCCAAGTACATAATTATTTCCTGTAAGGACAAATCCATAAGGGCACCCATTCAGAGTGGGTTCTTTCGGCTCTCCCAGTCACAAAGCAAATACTGCCGCCACGCTGGGCACAGCTGGAAGAACCCTGTCTGCACATGCTGCATACCTGTGTCAGGACTGCAATACTGATGTCTTGGCCGCTGGCTTCATAAATAAGATCTGTGAGCTGCTCGGGTGGCAGTGGGCTGCAAGAAGGCAAACCACAATTAGCAGTGACTCTGACACTTGCTATTAACCTCTTGAACAAGCACTGGAACCAAGTCACCCAGAAACCATCTTTGCACCGCAAAGGTGCCTATGATTCTGCCTGGGAGGCTGCAATTCCTTCTGAAGGTGAGGAATAAGTTTTAAAACAAGATAATAGCAGCAGAATGGTACCGGCAGGAAGATGAAGGACAGGCTGCTTCTGTAACTGAGGCAGAGCTCCAACTTACGTGGTAATAATTTTCTCGCGGGGTTCTGGTGGCAGGCCCACTGTAAGTTGCTTGTGGTGCGACAGAAGGTCTGTGCATGCCTATCATAATGCGACAGAAAGCAAGAGACCTTTCTCTGAGTCATGTAGAAGTGATAACAGCTTTTAATTCCCAAAAATGAAGCATTTCTTTAGCAATTTTTAAATGCATTTCTATTAATTACCAGACATGCAGATCCAGCAGAATGCTGTTAACTAGTTGCCAAAGATCCCCTGAGGTCAACAAGGCTATGAGAGTCTGCCCAGGCTGAAAGCCTGCTTCCCTGCTCAGTGAAAGCAGCAGCATAATGATTAGGGACTCCAGTGGGGCTGGCAGATCAATAAAGGACTTTATCATAAGATAAACATTTGTTCTTTATTTAAGACAAAAACCATTTTTAATCAATGAAAAACTTGGCAGTATTAGCTAAAAAAAAAATAATCCTGCATACTAATATATCTCTTAAAACAAACAAACACCGAACATATTGCATCACATTCCTGAATTAGGCACCCTGATACATTCTGAAATAGGTGCTTCCCCCAGCACCACGGTGTTTATTCTTTTATATCAACCTCCTTTAAAAGTGGGTGTTTAGTTTACCTGTTTTAGCATCCCGAACCAAAGACCTCACGGAGCAATGTTCCTCTGATTTTGAAGAGTCTGTTTTCCCTCCCTTAACGTGGAACAAAACATATCATCTCTACTCTCTTCCTCCCCAGTTCTTTGTCAGTATCTTCTCAATTGAACATACACGGCTTTCTGTGAGCATGTCTGTACTGCTTGTCCATCACGTCTTGAGGATGGAAAAGGTTATAGGCTTAATGAAGTACCACGCAGGGCGATTATCACAAGTTGCTCCCCGCAGATATGACTGTCACTAAAATAGGGTATCCTAGGTGTGACAGTCAAAGCTTTGAAAATGGCCAGGAATTAGAGAAAGAGCTCTTCAGAAATATACAGGGATAAGTAGGAAATTAAACAAATACTTTAGAGTACTTGAGAGGAAACATTTTTGTCATGTTCAAAATCAAATATGTACCCTTACTGTGGATCTTTCTCGTTACCATTTAATAGTCCCAGATACTTTAATGCCTCTGAACAGCCACATCTACACACATGGCAGACTGTCTGCCCAACGGGAAAGGAATCGGCAGAACATGTTTTTGGTGCTCCAAAAGTGTCCATGCTATCACAATAGCAATAGACAATTACCAATGACAACTACAGCTTTCAAAGCACACAATTAAGCATCTCTGATTAACAGGGATGAAATGAAGCCTTCGCAATCATTTACAGCGTGACATTCTCAGTCCATGCCAACATTAGCACAGTTCACAGTACAGATCATAGAATCATAGAATCATTAAGGTTGGAACAGACCTCTAAGATCGAGTCCAACCGTCAACCCAGCACCACCATGCCCACTAAACCATGTCCCTAAGCGCCTCATCTACACGTCTTTTAAATACCTCCAGGGATGGGGACTCAACCACTTCCCTGGGCAGCCTGTTCCAATCTTTAACCACTCTTTCAGTAAAGAAATTTTTCCTCACGTCCAATCTAAACCTCCCCTGGCGCAACTTG